GGACTGGAAGCTGCCATTGATCTGATAATAAAGCATCTCGAAGTATTTGGGGACTCCGCATTAGTCATATAATTCACAAATGCGGAATTCACAGAGATCCCTTTTAGTCACATCCCACTAAAAGAAAATCAAATGGCAGATGCTCTGGAAACTATACCAGTTATGTTCAAAGTAACTTGGTCAAACCACAAACCACGCATCACAATCAAGAGCCTGCATAATGTCTTGCTATCAAAGAAAGAGCGGATGACAAGCCTTGGTTTTACGACATCAAGAAGTACCTAGAAAAACAAGGACGTCCAGAAAATGCCTCTAGCATCGACAAACGAACTCTACGGAAACTAGCCTCAGATTTGTTTCAGAGTAATGGTGTACTACAAAAGATGAACCACAACATGGTCTAGTACTCAAGAAGATTCTGCTACCTTGCCTCAACTCACGTGGTAAATGGACACCCAAATACGAAGGTCCATACGTAGTCAAAACAACATTCTTCTGTGGTAGTCTTATCCTCGCAATAAGGGATGGGGAAGAACTACCACACCCGGCAAACTCAGGCGTAATCAAAAAATACTATGTATAAAAATATCGCTAAGCTCGAACCCTAAATGGGAGACTTAGGAAAAAAGGAGCATCCCGGTGGATCGAAAACCCTAAAGGCGATCCAGGAAAAAATTAGGGGCATATAAACAAAAAAGTTATCCCGATGGATTGAAAACCCGAAAGGGCAATCCAGGCAAAAATTAGAGATTTCATGCAAAGATATAAAGAACAAAAAGACCGCGATCTAAGAACTACGACTACGAACCACAAAGGGAGAGATGGATTTGAATCATACAACTCAGAAGCAAAGGCGATAAGGGCTATTAAAAGGATATTGGGGAACAGCAGCAGCAATTATCATTTTTTATTGCCATTTACAGTTTTAAAACTTTCTGTAATTACCTTTTTCTAGGAATTGCATCTTGTACTCTCGCCTATTCAAAGGCATATCAATAAAACATTTGCTTTCTTTACATCTTTCAAATTGCATTCTTCTTTTCTCTAACTTGTTTACAAAATACTATGATTATTACTTATGAATTTTGTCTTGAAATCATTTCGGGGAAATTAACAAATAAAAGCTTTTGATAAAACATCAAATAAGCAATTTGGTTATAAAAATATCGAAAGAAAATCCACATTCACGTCTACACACATGTTTACTCCTACATCTACAACACAAAGTCTACGTCTAATACACGCGTCTACGCCTACGCCTGCACTTACAACACACGAATCTACATATATGCCAATACATACGTCTACGCTCGCACTTACAAAACAACAAAACCAATGTTCAAAATCTTGCTAGACACTTTCCACCGCATTCAAATAAAATTCAATGATGCCATGACGAGACAACATACAACGCCAGTGAAGTGATAATTCAAAACCAATGGTTTAAAGGAGAGAATTCCAAAAATAGTCTTCATAGCACTTCAAGGCATACACGCATTTTACACACATTGCATACATACACTTTTCATACTCAAAGCATACATACACTATACATTTTTACATACAATACACATACACTCAGGGTTCCGTCCTGGTATCAGGAAGCATATGCCTATATAACACAACTAACAAACCATCTTACCCTCGATTCAGTCATCTAAAAGTCTGTCAACAAAACACTTCTCCTATTGGGAACATTGATGAAATTTGCAGGTTCTGCGTTTTTCTGAAGCAAGGGTGTGAAGAAGCAAAGAAAAGTAGAAAAAATAAGAAATAAGGGTATTTATAGACTTTGAAAGGAAGGAATAAATAATGGGGAAAATCTTTGTGATTTCCTACGTTTAAATCGTGCAATTTGAGGGACACGTGCTGCAAAATCAACGTGAGTTAATGGGATGCATCTCCCACTAAAAGTGCAATGATGGAAAAAATTAAATGTCACACGTCTCGAAGCTGAAAAGCATGATACGTTACCATGATTACACAGCGTCACGAAAAAGGCGGAACAGTAACGTTCACTTTTGGAGGGATGGAAACGGTTTGGTCAAATGGTAAAATTGACGCTTCAAAGATGCCATTATCTCATATGAGTCGAAATTCAAAAATGGCATCTCTGGGGGGCATTTTGTTACCTTGTAAAATCTTAAGGTATTCAAGCACGTGTATTAAATGAGGATTTTAAATTTCAAAGTCATCAGCAGTTTCCAGTGGTTTATAATTTGTTTAAGTGCCAAATAGGTGGCGACATTTAGTGAAGCGGTTGTCTCAAGATTTTAATATTGTCCGTAGATTTCATCTAGGCAGTTACATTGTAAATATTATAAATAAGTAGATTTAGTGTATTTTTTGGTGTGTTCACTTGTATGCTCAAATCACTTGTCAAAACTCTGTCATTCCGAGCGTTAGGAAACAAAGAGTGAAGAAGTGCTTGACGTACGTGAATCACCACTTTTATTTCAATTCAAATCCTTTATTTTTAAAATTATATATTTTTAATACTTTATTTTATTTCTATGTACTGTCGAACAAAGTCTTTACGTTATTTTCTACTTCACATAAACAATTCAAGGCTCTCTGTCGGTCACGAGTCACTAGTCAGTTAGTTTATTGAATCTTATTTTCATATGAATACCTTCTGTCGGTCACGAGTCACCAGTCAGTCGATCAATTCATAGTGTGGAAAGCCGTTATACTTGTTCCCTTAGTCGCGGAAAACCGTTTCCCCTGATAAGGATTTTGATAGAATAAGTATAATAATAAAACTCTTAGCACATGTCTTAATATCAACTGGTCGATCTTGCGAGTTACCCTTAGTTTTAGGACTTTGGGAGGACTAACGGTTGTTTACCATTTTCCACAGTAAACACTTGCATAGTAAATACCCAACCATGTTAAAATCCCGAATGAGACACGAAGTAATGTCGGGATGTAGTAGCTTATGTATCGCTTCAAATGGAAAATGTTGCATTTATTCACTTGTGGTCAGTAAACATGATAGAAAATGCTACACTGTCACATATATTATATTTTATCATCTAATGTTTTAAATAGCACAATTATTTAGAAAAATTCATTATAAAAACTTGATTGCCTCTTTTCCCATAATTGCATATTTCTTTCAACCAAAACAATTATTTATGCAACCAACCTATACTGTTATCGGCATTTAAAGGGTCTTCAACTTTACTCTCATGTTTTACTTCTTTTAGTGTAGAATTAATATCAGGAAACAAAACTTCAAATAACAAAACAATTAAACACTCTTCCTTTATTCATTTCCAAGTAAACTTTTACCATACAACAAAACTCAATTCATTTTTGACAATTACAACATAACCTTAAAATGGAAACCTATATACATGACATATTTTATTGCGTGAACTAACATTGATTCTAAATAAAATATGTTCACCAGCATCAAACGTATTCACTTCACAGAAATTATCCCATCCAAAACTTAATTCCATATTATACGGATCATCAACATTAAACAGTTTCATTGTTTTGGACTTTCCGTTGTCCCCGCAAAAAAGCAGACATTCATAACTGCGGTTCTTAAATATTATTGCAGTATGTACCTGCAACTTCTGCAATACAATTAACTTGTTAACCTTGTCATATTTCTTCAACACATTTAATTTAAAAAATTATAAAATCTTATCACCAGTACTCAACTAATTTCAGAACAGATGCAGAAATAGAGCTAAGAATAAGGTCAAATGCATGTATATTGTCATTGAAGTATATCTGCTGTGAAAATGAGGTAAATCTTCCCATTTTAACAACTCTTTAAACCAATTTATTCCAAAATTGTTGTGACCATAATAACCAACTTCAATGACAACATCGCACGGTGGATCATAATATTCTTCCAACAAGGGCCACCCACTTATTATCATAGGATTCTTTTGAACTTTGTTAAAGATCATCTCCTGGTGAACACATTGATTGTTCATCACCGTCCAAGTTTTATTTAATTCTTCACTGTAGTTCCTCACGAATTCTGGATCTATTTCAGCATACATCTATAAAACTTGAAGGTTACACATTTATTCATTAATAACTTATGATGTCACCACAAGTATAACAACAATAAACTAAGTCTTGAAAAATAGATTGCACCACATACCTGTGAAGATACTTTACCAATTAAAAATCAGTCAGTCTGGTTGGAGTGAATAAGAACTCCAGTTTTCTCCATTTCTTGTAATGACACTCAAAAATAGACCATGTGCATTGGTGTTGCATGAGGTAGGAATAACCCAATTTATCATGTAACTACTCAGCTACTTATTAAACACATCCCACTATTTATTTAATACATTCAACTATTCAATAATAACTTTTGATTATATTATAACTTCAACCTTTAAAACTGTTAAAACTCTTGGATACCCCCCCCCCCCCCCCATTATATTAATATGTGATTAATAATATTATAACAGGTTTTTTAGTCTACCATGCCTATTCTAATATTGGAAATATTATTTTTGGGAAAGCTTTAAAACTTTGTTATACTCGCAATCTCATTTGTTTCCAATACAATATTTTTCTAATTTATATTTACTCACAACATTTTGTTGTTCTTACCACTTTTGTAATTATTACACAATTGTCCCAACATAGTTTTTTTATGGGTTTGTATTACTATCCTTTATTCCAATTATAGTATACAACATGTGTTATTCTATATATTGGTTATCAGGTGATCTTATCGTTCTTTCATACCAAAACAATTGCCATGTGCTGCTTTAGATATAAAATAACCATTACATATAAATAACATAACAGTGTCGTGCAATACACTTTTTGGACCACGACCTCTACGCTTACAAACTTAATGTTAATGATTATACATCGACAAAATCATTGCCAACTTACCTATAATAGTAATTATTCATATTACACAACATTTCAAAATATTGACATAAACGAATTTAATACTGATAAGCTTCGTTGCATAATTTGAAACCATTCCACTCTCCATTATTCCCCTTTGTTCAACTTCCTTGTGTTACATTCGACTTCTTCTGAACACTCTTACTTGATGGATGGTTACAGAGGCAAAAGGCAACCTTATCTCCTTTTTTTAAATTATTCTTCTTAACAAATTCACACCACTCCTTACCAATGTACCTTTCAGTGCAATACACCCGTTCAGCATAATAAAGTTTGCATTCGGTGATATTACCTGTGGTTGAGTCCGCTAATTAAATATGGCCCTGGAGATTTAGGATGCACTCTTTGATAATCTTTTGTGGAAGTTGCTATACGTCATAGAAAACATTTACTTTGAATATGTGCAATCATAATGACTTGATATAAGTTATATAATATTATGGGCAATTTGATACAACTATCAATTCTAATATCTAATTGCTTCATAAAATACAAAACATACGATATCCATAAACCCTATTACTCAAAACAATATGAGTGGTTTAATAACATGGAATGGTTTTCTACTTACCAAAACATTTTTCCCTTTCGTCTTTCCATAGGAGATTTCCTTTTTCCATAAATAGTACCAGGGACCACTGCTGTTCGCACCATCATCCTCGACTTCATCCATGCTACATTATAACTCAACCATAACAGTATTACTGCAAATGAAAACTTGCAATATTTTAAAAAATAATCAAAAACATATAACGCTTTTCGTATTTCATCACTTACCAATCACTATCAGAGCAGATATTTGTGTATGTTAATTCGTTGGAATCTATGAATATATATTTCGCCTTAAACTTGCGCTTCACAACAACTGCTCCGTGTCACTGCGACTTCTTTCCTGTACCCTTATTCTTACGTATTATTGTTGCATGCAGTTTCCTCTTATCAATAACAACAACAACATTCATAGTGTCTACATTTCTTTAAACCATTTTCCTCTTTCGATCTTTAACTCTGTCTAAAATATTACCATTGTAAATAGATGATGGTGGTTTTTTCTCCCCAAATTGGTCACAAACATGGGATGTTGTACCGGCGCCGCATAACTCAACATTCGACTCAATTGGATTATCTCCATTTATCACCAAATCTACACATCCATGCCTCAACCCAACATAATGAACCAATGATCCACCGTCTTTTTGCAGTGTGAATTCATTAAAAATAATAGATGGTCCTCCATCTTTGACTTCTTGGTGTGCAACAACTTTGACCGTTGATAAATGTTTTCCCTGCTGTGCTTTTACCTTCTCCTAGATATATATTTTAACCTCCACAAGGTGTTTATGGTACATCATGTCAAGCCTCTCTCTTTTTTGTTGCAACTCTTTCATAGATTTGCAACAACAAGATCTTACAACAAGTCAATACAATTTAGAATAAATGATTCAACTACAAAAATATGCAACACATTTCGTATGCTGGTGCCAATTTACCTTGCTTCCTTAGATGCCATAGGAGTCTTGCTTGCCATTTCCTTCGCTTGGATGAACGGACAAACGTGACCGATGCTTCTTGTCTTTCTGTATAACCTTACGGGCTATATATAATTGGATTTATTTTATTGATTTTTAACAGTCCATGTTTATTCCTGGACCAAATTTTTTTAATATTAACATACCCAAAATTGTTTTTCGTTTCAATTTACTATACTTATAAAACCAGTCATATTAAAACATGTTACATATGCCAACAAACTTATCATTACAAAAATGAAAACTTATTTCATCTATAAATTGAGTTCTAACAATGTCCCTATTAATCTTTTTAAATTTTATTATTCTATTAATAAAACACTTTAAAAGTAAATTCTAATTCAATATATTTTTATTCATACAAAAATTTATAAGTTTCTATTCAAATTATGATTTATAAATATCAGTTAGTTTTATCCCACATCAAGAAAAAATTATCATTTTGTATTCACATTATTTTTTTATAAATATCTGTTATTTGTAAAGCTTAAAATCAAGTAGAGAAACACAACTTCAATATGTAAACAAATTATTGAAAATCATCACTTTTATATTTGTTAGATACAAACTTTGACATCAAAATCCTGTTGTAAAATACAATGACAGTAACTAAACATACCATTGACAGCTAATACTGCATAATACATTACTATAATATCATCATCACCACTTATTAGTACTTATAGTTTGCAAATAACATGACTTATAATGATGCGTTTAACATTGTAGTCACATAAATTACATCCCCAACAGATAACCTATCAAGAAACTTTCAACTCCTCAAATCCACAAGTCATTTTAACTATTCTTTTAACATTTGTAGTCATATAAATTACATCCCAAACTTGAAATAAACATTAAAAAAAAACAAACACAACTAGTCCTTATTTCAAATTATATAACCAACACAATATGGTTCAGCTTCTCTTTTTTGTCGACTCAACATAAACCAATATTTCATCAACCGATGGATATCGAATGCAAAAATGAAGAGTGTCTCATTTCTTTAACTTTTCCTGTTTGTCAAACTCGTACTACCCAGTGTTGTACCCAAAATTTTTCCCCTAAGATTCCTCTATCATCTCATACCATCACAATGCAACCAAATTACAAATTAGAGTTTGAGGTTTTCCTCCTACTGCATCCTGCCTTAGGGTTTGCCTATGAGAATAACCAAGCACCTTGAAGCACTTTTATTTGTATATATTGTACTTGTATGCTTCTAACTAACCTCAAAGTGTGTATATTTTGTCCCTTGGAATATCACCTTGTAGGTCATGGCACAATTGCAGTCATCTCACCATCTCCTAGCACATATGACCAAAACTAGGGTTTTGAGTTTAATTAGGAGATCTCTGGATTTTTGGGAAATTCTTGATCCCATACTTCTCAACATAGTCATGAGCATCTATCATTGGAAGTTTGATCATCAACTTTGGCTTGAAAGGGTTCAATTGATAGAAAAAGGGGTAAAATGGTAATTTTCTCAGAAGACAGTCAAAATCAGTTGTTGACCAAGTGAACTTTTGGTCAACCATCAATTCAACATGCCTATTCTCATATTTCATGGTCAATAGTGCAAAAATATAAAGAGGAAGTGTTGAATTGGAGTTAACTTGTCAAGGAAGTTATTTGAAGTTTTGAAAATTTTCTAAGTATCCATAGGGCTGAATTTTAACCGGCTATAACTTTCCAAATTTTTATTGAAAATGTGAAAACTTTATATGCCTAGAAAGAGGATGAAAAATTCTCCAACTTTGTAGGAGTGGCCACAAGTCCAAAAAATGAAAGGAAAAAAAGTTATGAAGCTTGGAAGATTTTTGACACTTAGTGAAATTTCGGTTAAAACTGCAAAAATTTGACTTCTTCATGTCCATTTTTGAATGACCATTTGGACTCAAATCAAAAAGTTGGGAACATGAAAGTTGTATATTGAAGTTTTCTCTTCATTTTTCATTCAAGAATCATCTCAAATGGTTAAGTGTAAAGAATGATATGGTGATTAGGATTTTGAGTTGAAAGCTGAATTTTTGTCCAGCACAAGGCAAGTCACACGCGCGCTAGGTAGTCATTTCATCAACCATGTTGTGGGCGCGTATTCATCAATACTTTTCTATGTTAAATATTCATTATTTTGAAAAATGTCCAACATCAAAGTTGAAGCCCTAAATGTGAGGAACAATGTTGCTTCAGGAAGTTTCTCCAAATTCTCCATAAATCTTGAGATATAATTGAAGGAAGATGGCATCATACAAGCTGAAATGTTTTGCCCAGCCAGGCCTCACACACGTGCAGAATGCCCAGTCATGCTTGGCATTCCATCAAGCAGTTTGTAAGCATGCATTAATAGCCAAATATCTCATTGATCCAAGGTTCATTTTAAAAAAATTTGAACATCAAAGATGGAGTATGAAATGTCCTCTCCATTTTTTATTCAATCTTTGTGAATTTTCATGCACCATAGAGAGAGATATAAGGAGCTAAAGATGTGATCATGAAATGGCAAGACTTACATGGGATTGCATGGATTTTTCGTGCCAGCCAAAGTTCCAGCCTGCCAGATCATCACTAACACTTTTCTCACTCATTTCCCACCCTTTATTTGTTGTTCAAAATGCATGCTCCTCATCCCAAAACAACATAAAACGCGCAGCACCTCACACCTCACTCTGACTTCTCATTTTTCTCTCATTTTCCTCACTCTCTCATTCTTCCCTCTATAAAAGTCAATGTGGTTCAACAATTGAGGAGGATTTTTTTTGTCAGTATCAAGCTCTTACTCTCTTTCTCTCTTCCTCACAAAGTCAGCAACACACTTCTCTTTCTCTCTCTCAAAACAAGCTTGAACTCCATTGTTGAAATTTTCCTTCTCTTCGAAACTGCCTCCATCCTTGTTCCAGCTCTTATATCTCTTTCATTTCTTCATATTTGGAGCAAGAGAAGCAAGTATCTCTGGGTTTCTCATCATTAGATCCAGCCAATAGTGAATTTATTTTTCACTTGAAAGGTAAAATTCAGATTTGGATTTCTTGATTGCTAGCTTAATTCAATGCTTGAGATCTTGCATACATGTTATTAGTTGGCCAAACAATAGGTTTGATGTATTGGATTGGTTTGATTCGAGCTCCATTGATGTTTTGAAATTTTATGCAAATCATGCTCAAGTGAGTTTTCAGTGACTTTGAGCTCCAATTTATCTTTGATCCTGCCTTGTTTTTGAAATCTAAAAGATGTGTGATGTTCATAGAAGTTTGGTGATCATTTTTGCTTTTGGAATCATCTCAAATGGTTGAGAAACAAGAGAGAAATTGAAGCTGGAAGTTGCCTTGATGAAATCTGTTTTACACGCGTTTTGGGTTTTGGTGCGTTGGTAGGGACGATGACGTGTCCCTGCCTGATTGAACATGGACGCATTTTATCTTTTACAGCGCATTTTGTCAAGAAAGGGTGTAAAAAGCTTCATATATTAATTTTTCTTTTGTTTTCTTAAATTTCATTTTAATTTTTTCTTCATTTAAAAAATTATTTAAAAAAAATTTAAACTCCTTTTTCAGTATATTTTCATATTTTGATTTTGATTTTTTTTAATCATTTTTCTTGATTAAATAAAATCATGTGAATAATTAGGGTTTTAGTATTTCTTTTTAAATCTTGAATTTTATTTTCTTATATCTATAAAGTAAAAATCCATAAAAAAAAAATTTTGGACTCCTCTCTGAGATTATTACATGAAAATATTTTTTTCCTATTTTATAAAAAAATTTGGATTACAAATTAAATCATTTAATTGAACATATTCATCTTTTCCTTGTTTTTTTAATGATTTGTTTAAATAATTTCTATTTATTTTTTCCTTATGAGATAAAATTCAAGAAAAATATGATTTATGATCCATAGAGTTTTCTTAAAATTTAGGTTATTCTACATCAAATTTATTTGACCTTTGGACCTAGTTGATTAATTTTTGAACTTATTTTCCTTTTTACGGTTTTTACTTGATCATGCACATTAATGGATTTAAATTTCTAACTTCCTCTACCTATAAAATCAGAGATGAATTTTTTTGGAGTTCTTGAACATGTTGAGGCCATAAAAATCTATTTTCTGGAATTTTACAATGTGATTTCATATTTTTCACAAATTATTTTCCAAAACCATCTAGTTTAAGGCTTTAACTTACTAGTCTCCAAGTTTGCATTTCTAAAGCAAATTTCCACCTCAATATAGGGACTCTAAATTTTATTTCTGACTTTTATAAGACCTTAGTAAGTTAGGGTTTTAATTTCCTAATTTTTCAAGTCATTTTCATATTTTAAAACTATTATTGTCTTAGGTGTGCATTTAGGGTTTTCCCTTTGAACAATGTTTGTAAATTGAAAACTTTTGTACATGATTCTTGTATGATTTTTGAAATAGCACGTGGTACTGACTTGGAGCATATCTTGAGGAAAATTCTTCAACATCATTGGGTCTTGGGTGTTGATAGGTTTATAAACCAAATCCATTAAAATGGACAAATGATGTTGATGATATTTGAAATTCTAATCCCTTCCCTCTTCATCTTATTCCCCTTTCTTATTATATTACATGTTATGGGATAATTATATTTATATAATTTATCCAAACATGAAATACATAGATTGCTATTGACCGGCCTCAAAATAGGTGCGACTTTTATATAAGTCCACTTACGATTGCTTAACATAGCGCTAAATTTTGTCCCGATTCGAATAAATGATCATTCATGGCCCAAACCTATGTTTGCAAGCCCAAGTATGTTAATTTGATCCCTTTGATCCAATAACCTTGAGATTCATTGTATGGAGGCTTTGGTTCTACCAATCCTCTAATGGATCTTCATAAATTTTGGTCAACGCGGATCACTTAAACATCGTTGATCATTAAATGTTGCCTTGAGAATTCTTAAATGGATGATATACTTGACAAAAAGCAAATGCAACTTGTTGTGTGGAGGCTTTGGTTCTACCAATCCTCTAAT